GGTGGTGGTTTCCATGGATATCGTCTCCCTCTGGTGACACGCCCTTTTTTGTATAACTCTGTTTCCCTAGAGTTGATTGTTTTTGGCACACAGCTCTGTAAACTCATCCAACAATTAAAAAGGGTGAGGGGTGGGGCACAAAGGAGACAGACAGTAACTGTGGGGTGAGTGACACACAGGAAGGGCCTCTGGTGTGTGGGTTCCCTCTCTGGCCCCTGTCGGCTGCAGGACAGCACCGTAAGTGCAGAAAGCCGCATAACCAGCTGGCCCGGAGTTCCGCTGCTGGAGTTCTGAGAATTCACAACTCTACATGTTTCTTTCCATTTGAGGTGTGTTCTTGCCCCATTTATTCCTCCCTCAGGAATCTAAAGGGGCCCATTCTCAGAGCCACCGTAGCCATCTCCAGAGGCCACTTGAAGCCATGAGATGCCAGCTTGGACCCATTTGAATATTTGCTGCCCTCGCTTTCGTTGTGTATGTGTTTGCCCTGTTTGTGTACCATCAAATACCTGCTGCGCTGGGCGTACCCATCGTAGGCTGTGTGAGATCACAGATGAAAAATGCAGTGAAAAACACTTTCGTGCCACAACACATCATGTAGGATTTTTGTATTAAGATGTGGATTTTTTTATTGTTGTTTTTTTTTTTTCCCTTTTCCATACAGCCCTGAAGTTGGGCAATGTGCACGTCTGCGCTTTTGTTTTCACTCCAGGTGGTTTATGAAATCTGCTTATTAGGGCTCTGTCCTCTCCCCGCCCAGCCTGATGTTCTACCCCTTTATCCTCTCGGATGTAGATCTTTTCCTGCCACCCCCCGCCCCAGTGTCTTCTCGCCTTTGGGGAGATGATGGGTGCCACCCCGCCCCTCCCTCCCCCCATTGCACATTCATCCAGTGAAAAGCAGGGGATCTTGTGGCCCTGCTTCTCAGCCCTGCATCTCTGAGGCAGGTGTTCATTGCAGTAGGAGGTACCACTTTGGGGGAGGTAGCTGAAATCTCTGTGTACCCCCCCACCCCGCCAGATAAAGCCCCTTAACTTACCCTTTGTCTGGAGAGAAGACATAGAAGTTGTCCCGTGCCCACAGGGCCTCCTGACTTACAGTGGCCCTCTCCCGACTGGCCGCCTTGTCCTTAGCCCATCAGGTGACAGCGTTGGGTGGCTCAGCCCCTTCTTTCGCCAGGAGGTCACGCCCACAGCTGGGACCCTGTTTACCAGGTGGATTCAGGGGTTCCTCCTGCTCGCCAGGTGCGTCACCGTAGGCCTCACCTCCCTCCAACCTGCCGCCCATCCGGAAGCAAGCGCCTAAGCCTGGCCTTTGCCTTCTCTCTGGCTGTGATCTCTGAGTGCTTTTGGGTGGCTCTGGAGGATTTGATGGAGACCTGTTTGGAGGTCAGGAGAACTGAGATTCAGGAGGGGAAACAGCATGAGGTGTGGGTGGGTGCTGAGGTCATGGGTGGGGACGAAGAGGAACTTTCAAGTGAGGTGGGCCTTGGAGTCTGTCAGCCCGAGTCCAGGCCTGGGTCCAGCACTTGCGAGTTGTGTGACCTTTGGCAAGTCCCTTCGTATCTCTGTGCCTGCCCTCCCTAATCTAGCCACAGGGATCATAATCCTTCCTACTTCGTGTTGTAAAGATTCAATGAGATCATATAGCACTCAGCATGCTGCTTGGCGAACAGGAGGCATCCACAAAAAGAATATCATTACTTCTCACATAGGCCTATTGGCAGAGGGTGTGCCCTCCACTCCCAGCATGTTCTCTGGCACATAGGAGGTGCTCAGTCAATTCTTACTGGAATCAGCTGGAGAAGGGTCAAGTAACCCAGCGGTCTCCTTGAACCTGAAAGTTATTAATTTATGGTGTTGCTGGAGCAGTCGGGAGAGCCCAGGACACAGGTTGGGGCTTAGGGAAACTGAACAGAAGGGAGCATGAAAATAGGTGATGAAGTGTTCTGTCAAGGAGAGGGATGAAGCTGAGCCAGGCCCATCTGATTCTGACATGAAATCAGGAATTAGTTCAGTTTCACGAACACTTACGCTGCACACCGTGGGCCAGCTGTTGTGCTAAATGCCGGGGATGCAATGATAATTAAGACCTGGTCTCTGCCCTTGAGGAGTTAAAAATCAATGGTGGAGACAGACTTGTGAACAAATGACTTTAGTCCAGTATGGATTTAAATGCCACAGGGAAGGCTGCATGAGGAGTAGAGGGGCATATGGGCCTGCTTGGGGTAGATTCTGGAAGGTTACCTTGAAGAGACTTGGACGAAGAGGGCGCTGCTAGTCGAGAGCGTTTCTGGAGCACTCTGAACGACTTTCACATCTCTTGTTGATCCCCCGTGTCTGCTAGGTCGGAGGGAAGAAGGTGTTATCTCCACTGGATGGGCGAGGACATGGGCCCTGGGGAGAGTACATGGCTTGTCCCAGGGCCTACGGTGACTTAAGCGGCAGAACTGGGACTCAGACCCCTATCTTCTGATTCTTGGCCCAGTGTTACTTCCGTGCCTGCACCTGGCTTCTCACCCCTTCATCCTGGAGCTGCTGGCCACAGAGCTCCGTCCTTTGGGCTGTGCACCTGCTGACCAGGATTCTTGCTGCTGCCATGGCCCTGGGGCCTGTGCTGTGGGAGGGCCCTGTCCACGACAGGCCCTGTGGCCTGCGCCCTGGTTTGGTAATTGGGTCAGGCCGCTTGGTTGGGGACAGTCCTGGAGCAAGGCCGCACCCTGGCAGGGCTGGAGGGTGGCAGGAGTGAGGAGGACGGAGGAAAAGGAGGCCTGGCCGCACCCTTTATTCAGTTGTCCTTGATGCCAAAGCTGAGAAGGTCCCTCTGCCTTGGGCAGGCCCCTCGTCAGCTGGCGGAGGCTGGATAAGGGCCCCACCAGGGTCTGGAAAACCCTCTTTCCC